TAAGGGTAATGGGACACTGCACCCAGACCGCTTCAATGAGCTGAAGTGGTCTGGGTGTATACAGTGTCCTTTTAAGCCTGCCTATTTTTTATTTTTTAAGCCACACCCACTCCTTATCAAAATGTATGCACAGATGAGCCACTGACAATACTGAATAAACTGAGTAACAAAGCAACCTGCATTAGAAGGATAGGACACTCAGGGAGACATATAGTAAGGATATCACTACCTGTTTATAGTTTCTCTGACTGTCTGCAGCCAGGTTGCGAATTAAAAAACACTCACTTTCATAAGGAAATCTTTCAGACATGAGGGGCATGGCTAAGGAACTTGCAAAAACAAACAGCATGACATTGCATTATCCCTGTCTGAAGTTTACTTTGGTTAATTGTGATCTGTCAGTTACTGTATTCTGGGCTCTTTCCGCTAAGCCTGACTATGTACATACAGCCTATAATTCAATAGAGTGCTTTTATTTAGTAGTTACACATAATACTGTGAAAAGTTATTTTTATTCATTTGACTGGCACGATATATATGTTATATTCTTAATCTATTTAAATATTATGTCTAACCTCTTTATAAATATAGAGGAAAAACCTAAGAGACCACTCCCATGGAGAGTGACCACTAGATTAAAATCCCAGTCCAATCTAGAAAAAGGTCTTAAAAGAAAATAACAAAAACTTTATTAATAATACTGAAAATACTGAGGTAAACCATAAAGTACAACCTGGTAGACCAAAGGCAACATTTAGGGGAGGTGCTAGATGCCTAGATAATACGTACTATATCAGGTCAGAAAAGTATATGGTGTTAGCAAAATAGGATAAATAAAGCCCAACGCACGTTTCAGCCACGCCGTCCTCGGGGGCAAACGCGTGGGGTGAAAGAACACCGTTTGTCCTGTGTTTTACTGATTGCCTTCACAACAGATTTCTGGGTCCTGGAGGTTGTATACAAAATTTCTCCTGAGAGTAAAGTAACTATGATGGGCTTTTACTTTTTAATTATCTTGTGATTGTATAAAATAAAGTGTTCTTTTTGGTGTTATACAGTGTTGCACTATGTGTTTTTTTTCTTCTCTCCTAACAAGCACAGACGTTGAGAAGTAGAGAAGAAAGAAGTTCTACTAATATTTTCATATTTTGGCTGCTTTAAAGGGACACTATAGTCACCTGAACAACTTTAGCTTAATGAAGCAGTTTTCGTGTGTGTGGCTTTATGCCTGTGTGTGCGTGTGTGCGGCTGTCTGCCTGTGCGTGTATGTGTGTGTATGTGTGTGTATGTGGCTGTCTGCCTGTGTGTGACTGTCTGCATGTAAGTATGTGTGTGTAAGACTGTATGTGTGGCTGACTGCCTGCCTCTGCGTGTGTGGATGTCTTCCTGTGTGTGTGGATGGCCGCATGCCTCTGTGTGTGTGTGTGGCTGTCTGCCTGCGTGTATGTGTGTGGCTGTCTGTGTGTGTGTGTCTGTCTTCCTGTGTGTGTGTTTGTGTGTGGCTGCCTGTGTGTGTGGCTGTCTGTGTGTCTGCATGTAAGTATGTGTGTGTAAAACGGTATGTGTGGCTATGTGTGTGTGGCTGTCTGCCTGTAATTGTGTGTGAGTGTGTTTATCTCCCTATATCTGTGTATGTGTGTCACTGCCTGTACCTGTGTGTTTCTGTCTGATCCTGTGTATGTGACTATCTGCCTGTGACTATGTGCATGTGGTGGATTTGACATAACTCTGCAAAAATATACACCTGCATTCACACACAGGCCTAAATGCATGTTTTTATCTGAATTAAATAACCATCACACACAGCCAATAAACGCAGCACAAATATCACATACAACCAATACACGCATATCACACACTGTTAATACACCCATTACAAATATCACACACAGCCAGCACATAGCATACATATCACACACAGTCATCACATCTTTCACATACACAAACAACACAAACATTACATAATACATAGATGGGGGGGGGGGAGGGAGGGAGGGGAAGGGGGGGAGAAGGGGTTATGTAAACTTTTTATCAGGGCCATTTGGGTGATTTCTGTTATCATTAAGATTTAAAAAGGAGCCAAACAACTATGTGATAATAAATGGCTTCATATGATCACTATCCTTCAATAAAATACATTTATTTTTTTTGCATGATCAGTCATATTTCCAAAATGAATGCCAAAATTTCACAATTTCCACCAGGATATGCAAACTTTTGAGCACAACTGTACCTTTACAGGCGTTATTATGAAGCATGTTCTGCCGGTATCCTCAAGCGTTCAGGGGGAGTATGGCCGGCACGTCCATTAGGCCAATTAGGCAGTGGCCTATGGCACTCTGCATTAGGATGCGCCTGCAGGGGCTATAATGCAGTCTGAATCCCACATGACAATGTGCAGGCTGTGTTTAGTCACAGTTAATAAAGAGCCTCCGCCTCCCGCAGTGATAGAATTGCCTGCACCCTCCCCTCACTGCTTCTGACCTCCACGTTGTAATTCCACTACAGAGGATAGGGGTTACGATAGTATCCCCCGCCTCTGCCCATCCACTGGGGAGTTGGGAGGTGGTACTAAGCAGGGAGTGTATCTCTGGCAGGCATATCGGGATGCTATAACTGGGCTTGGCTGCAGCTTACAATTTGTCCGGGTTTTGTCATTTTCTTGACAGTTTAGAATATAGAAATTAGATTTTTTGTAATTGGGGGCAAAATCACCTCCCTGTCACACAGCTAGGAAGGCTTTATTCCACTTCCTTTAGCTCCACAGAGCTAACAGAAGAAGCAGATGTGCCATAATAGTGTACACCTGCCTTTCCCCTTTCTTAATGAGCTGACTAGAGCTCAATGGGAAAGCTGTGATTGAGTGTGCATGTGCACAACTGCAACCCCAGCACAGAGGCTTTTCAATAAAAAGCCTCTGATTTAGAGGGATTGCTGAAAAACAGCATTTTTCTTTGGAGTATATCTACTAAATTGTTAAAAGAAATCAATGGAATGTTTCCTTACGGAGTTTAGTGAATAAACATGTGACACAATGGAACTATCTCATGAGGGGCCGCCAAATGGATCTTGGCCTAGGGCGGCAAAATTCCCTGCACTGGCTCTGAGGGGGAGACATAGTTTCTTTGAACCATTGTTGAATGCTTGTATTAATTCTCCTAGAAGACCCAAACTCCTATCCCTGTGCTATGCCAACTGTCTACATTGGGTGGGGGGAAAAAAAGCCTCCTTATATGCTTAACTGTGAATATGTGTTAGGCAAGCAGTTTTCCTTACAAGATTGTCACTCTTCTCTCACGGTCCTTAAACAAATTACTAGCACTAACCATTTAGAAACATATTATAAAACGCCTTATGAGATGGTACCTTAGCCATACAGATTACAAAAGATCTTCTCATCCATCTCAGCTCAGTGCTGGAGATGTGGGTCGGGAGCGGGGACGTTGTTGCACATTTAGTAGGAATGTCCCAAGCTTTCCGAATACTGGTCTCTGATTTACCTCCTAATTTGAAAAATGTGTAAATTAGACAAATTACCCAAATTTAATTTATTACCAACACTCCCAAACTCTATCCAATCTGAGGCCCATAGAATGTGTGTACCTTTATCATAATAGTTGAATAACTTTGCCAAGCCAGAGCCTGGAGGATTTCCTAACCGCTGCAGGTGACGGAGGTGCATGAGTAGTTCTGGCTGAGTAATAGCCCACACACCTATTGGTTGCTATGGGATAAATATATAAACACACAACACACCAGCTAATGGAACAGCATGCCACAGAGAAAAAAAAAAGCCTTATAGCCCCAATCTACAAAAATAAACACTAATGGCCTAGATTCAAAAGATTTTAAGCGATGTAAAACAAAGCTGCCCATTATCACCTATTATTTTTACTCTAGCTTTAGACCCACTTATTAGATTTATCGACTCTGAGGATATAAAAAGTACAATTGACCATTAAACAAATTGGTTTTGCCAAAGATCTTTTACTTCACCTTTCGAACCCTGCCATATCCCTTATGAACACACTCACCCTTTTTGAAAAATACGGCCCAATAATAGGCTCTCAAATTAACTGGTCCAACTCGACAGCTACGAGATTGGATCCAGGTCAACCGATATACCTACAGACACAGACTACTTTAACATGGACAACCTTGAACTTTAAAAATTCTAGGAGTGTTTTTTTGTTTTTAGATTATTTAATGCAATGTTAAACACACCAGGCAAGCCATAAGACTTGTTTTTACCACAGAAATCTCTTTAACAGTGCTCTCACAACTGCAAGGGATTCCACACTTTTTTTTTTCCCCCACCACAACTTATTTGATATGTATATATATTATAAATACAGAATCAACATGACACCGCTTTTGAGTGAGGTGAGTTATAATACTTAAAGGAGCACTATAGTGTCAGGAACACAAAACATGTACCCTGTAGGGTTAAAAACACCATCTAGCCCCCCTGATCCCCTCATGCCTCTCTAAATATAGTAAAATCTTACTTGTATGCAGCTGCTTACCTTGTCCGTTTCCTTTAGACCTGCCCACTGCCTGCTGACATCAGCAGAAACTTTAGCCTGATCCAATCAAAATGCTTCCCCATAGGATTGGCTGAGACTGACAAAGAGGCAGATCAGGGGCAGAGCCAGCACAATTCAAACACAGCCCTGGCCAATCAGCATCTCCTCATAGAGATGAATTGAATCAATGAATCTCTATGAGGAAAGTTCAGTGTCTGCATGCAGGGGGAGGAGATACTGAATGTTTGGATGCATTTTAGGCAGCCATGCCCCAGGAAGGATCTCTAACAGCCATCTTAGGAGTGGCCAGTGAAGTTATCACTAGGCTGTAATGTAAACACTGCATTTTCTCTGAAAAGACAGTGTTTACAGCAAAAAGCCTGAAGGTAATGATTCCACTCACCAGAACAAATTCAATAAGCTGTAGTTGTTCTGGTGACTATAGTATCCCTTTAACTTTGTGCTCAAATACCCAGGAAACATAACAGAGCATCTCTCAGTTATTTTGGTTTAAGGTTATATTTTAATTTTTTTTAAATTTATTTTTCTCCTTCTTTACACGTCTTTTAAACAAAAAGTTCATGCAAGATGTAAAATACAGTTTTTAACTTCCTATCTACAAAGTAATATTTGTGAATATTTTGTTTAATATAACACAATAACTCATGACAATAAAAAAAAAAAGTTTGAAAATAAAATAATCAAGTGTCTTGTCTGTATTTTCGAAGATGAGTATATTTATATCTCCTGGCTATCCATGGTAGCATATACACTTGGGTTAGCCCTGACTCAGATAATAGATGAGACAGGGAAACCTCCCCTCCCCCCCCCTAAAAATCTACAGTACAGCCTTGTATATATTATAAAAACAGTGCATTCATAAAGTGTTCACATCCCTTAATTTTCACTTTATATGACAATTGTTTAAATATATTTTCGATACCCCATAATAAACACCTGCCCCCCCTCAAAACAAAAAAACAACCTAAACACAAAACAGGTTTTTGACACCATTATAAAATGAAAGAGAAAAAAAAAAAAACCCTGAAATATCACATTGATATAAGTATTCAGACCCTTAACTCGTACTTGGTTAAAGCACTTTTTGAATATGATGCGACAAGTTTGGGGTAAGGTTTTCTCTGCAGATCCTCTCAAGCTCTGTCAGGTTGGATGGGGACAGTCTGTAAAAAGTATTTTGCAGGCCTCTCCAGAGATGTTCGATTTGGTTCCAATCTGGGACTACTTAAGGACATTCACAGAGTTGTCCCTAAGTTACACACATTGTCTTGGCTGTGTACTTACAGTTATTAGCCTGTTGGAAGGCAGTTAAGACAATGGTGTCAAAAATGTGTTTTTTTGCTTTGCCATTAAGGGATATTGAGTGTAGATTGAGAAAACAAACACACACACTTAAACAATTATAGCATAAGGCAGCAAAAAAAAAAAAATTAAAATTAAAAAGTGACGGGGTCTTAATACTTTCTAAATAGAATGTGTATGTATATATATTACAATATTACATAGTCTATACACATTCATATAATGCTTGTTGAAGAGCTTTATACATTTGGAGTGTATCTGACCGCTATGAAAAGCAATTTATACAAGCTAGCAGTGATGTCCCGAAAGGTTCGCTGCAGACGGCAAACATATGCGGTAAACTTTGACCCTGTACCTCACAGTCAGCAGACACATTCCAGCCAATCAGCCGCAGACCCTCCCTTCCACCTCCTGGACAGCATCCATTTTACATTCATTGTGAAGCTGCATTCTTAGTGAGCTGTCCAGGAGGTGGGAGGGACTGGGAGGGAGGGTCTGCTGCTGATTGGCTGGAATTTGTCTGCTGACTGTGAGGTACAGGGTCAAAGTTTACCGCATATGTTCGCCGTCCGCGGCGAACCGTTCGGGACATCACTACAAACTAATATAAAAACAGGACCCAATCATCATGAGATGGATAGATGAAACGTTAAAAGTTACACTCCACACTTTAGGTTGGAAACCCTTTATATTCATCTTATCATGTACCACCCCTTAACACTCTTCACTACCCAACAGTGTATAAAAGGTTTAATGTGCAATATAAATAGCACTTTTTTTTTTTTTTTAAACCAACAAAATGAACACAATTCCATAAGTTCAGATTATTGTTCAACATAACAAACCTAGCAAGATACTTTAAGTGCAAAGTTAAATTGTAGGCACAATATTGCATTTTTTTTTAACCAATATTTCACCTCCCTCAAAGAAATGAAACTATTTATACAGTCAATATGAATTTTATGATTATTATATGCATATAAAACAAATGCAAACAACATTAAAAACACAATTCTGTGTCCCAGTAGGTTTCCAAGCACAAATGTCTTAACAGTCAATAGTGTACAAATAAAAATGGGGGAGGGAGAGGAAATATATACATGAGAATATATTGTGTATTTATGCATATAGCAATCGGATTACAAAACCACTATTCACAAAGTACATTAGATAAGGCCTGCATTGCATGGCCTTTTAATTTATATATTGTGTTTAGAACCCCAAATGTTCTTAAACATGACTGCTGTGCATCAAAAGCAGTCCATAAGTATTTGCAAACTATTCACAATAAAATATATGAAAAAAAAATAATAGAGAGACTGTCAATTGTATTGGCAGTAAAAGGTAGGGAGTGACCAGATGAAGCTAATTGAAAATTTTTAACAAAATAAGTCCTTGGCAGATCATCTCTTAAATTGAGCAAACAAAATAGGAAGGGCTGTGCGGTTTGAAGAGACTGATTTTTTTTTTTTTTTGCATTTCCAAAAAAGACACAAGGCAGCCAAAATGGATAATAAAAGTCTGAGGATAACGAAAAGGTTGCAATGTTGAGCAGCCGAACTTGACATCAAAGCTCACAATCCATACAGCAAAAGGATAACTTCAAGAAACATCTGCAAAGAAACAGGATATAATCTTTATTACATTACCAATTCAACCTAACAGTAGAATATATTTTAGATAAAAGATACACAAAATTCAGAAAAAGTACATAACAAAAATCAGTTAGAAGTGTTAAATTAACTCAAAAATGTTATTCTAAAATATGAACTCTTGATGTGGTTGCAAATATTAAAGATAACAACCTGTAAGAATTAATCTTTACGTTTAAAAATCATGAATGTTATTGACAGAGCTTGCAATAGAATTTGTTCAGCAGGTTACTAGCCGACAAACAATAGTCAACAAACCTAGCAAAATTTGCAGGGGGATTATCAACAGCCCATTTCTTTTGCAGATATGCAAGCATTATTACTTAATTTTGTTCTAATAAAAAACACATTTAAAAAAACAAAACAAAAAAAAACCCCTCTGATTATTAGTTAGATTTTGCATAGTCATTTGTTACAGAGAGGAACCTTTCACAGGGTTATACGCATGCATTCATCTTACAATTTAACAACGTGAGTTCAGATCGTAATTAGCTTTGCTGGAGTTGTATACTTGAACATTTTTGCGTTTGATTTGTCATTGTGTCCCTATTGTCCACGTGTTCCTGGGGCTGTGGTTTTTCTCTGTGGGCGTTCCCTGCTGATTTTTGGGTTTGTTTGCTACTCCATGGTATTTTGTAGGGTAACTGAACTATGAACATGGAAGAGGGTGAAAAAGAAAAGGGGTAAAAAGTAAACTTATTTAAAGGAGAGGATATACTATTATGAGGGTAGTGGTTGCTGGTTATACCTCTGCAATTTTGCTGGGGATGTCAGTAGGCTGTCCTAAGGGGGTTAGAATGGAGGTGATTTGTTTGGCTTGGATGCGTTTGCGCAGTCTACGGGCTAGAAGCGTGTGCTTTATTGTATTTCTCGTAGAACACTTGTTTTGTCCATTGTAATGCTTTCGTTGCATCTTTCGCCATAGCCTTTTTAAGGGCTTCGCGTTGGGTTTGGAGCTGTGTCGCGAGGTCCTGTGTGGGGGACTGTTGATGTTGGGATTTCAGTTGTCTGATCGTCTCTAGTAATGATTCTATGTAGGCCATTTGTTTCTTCTTGTGTGCGGTTGCTATGCTAATGAGGGATCCCCTGATCACCATTTTATGGGCCGCCCACAAGACTGCGGGTGATTGGACCAAGTTTTTGTTTGTGTTGAAGTAATGTGTGAGTTCTGTTCTGAGTTCTGCCACAACCAGGGTTGCGAGATTTGTGGCAGTTGGATTTGTAGGAAGATTTCTGCATGGTCGGACCATGTGATGTTGCCAAGTGCAGTCATGGTTGTGTGGGGAAGAAGGGACGGGGAGATAAGGAAGTAGTCTATGCGGGAGTATGCGTGGTGTGGGTGCGAGTAAGGTGAAGTCTTGTGTAGTTGGGTGGTGCCAGATGTCTAGTAGTCCTGTCTGAGTTATGAAGTCAGCCATTAGTTTATCTGATCTGGAGAGTTGGGGCAGTGGCTGGGATTGGGAAGGGGAAAGCGTGGCATTAAAGTCCCCCCTATGATTCTGTGGTGACATGGGTATAGGCTAAGGTGTGCTTGTTGGGCGAGCCAGAATTGCAGGTTCGGGTGTGTGGGTGCGTATATAGTGGTGATTGCGAATTTGGCGGGACTGATCATCCATGGTACTGTGAGGTATCGTCCCCGTGTGTATCGGTGACTTGTAGGGGGCATGTTTTCCGTAGCAGTATTGCCACCCCATTGTGTTTGCCCATGTTGGAACTGGCTAAGTCACAAGTCCTGAAGTGTCGGCTAAAGAGAGGAAATGGGCACGCACTGAAGTAGTGTGTCTCCTGGAGGAGGAGTGTGTCTGCTCCAGTGCAGTTGGCCCAGCGCATAAGTTGGTTGCGTTTTGAGGGGTTGTAGAGCCCCTTACAGTTGATGGGAATGCAGGTTACCTAGCTGGCATTGTGATGGGTGGGGGGGTGGGTTGCACACGTGGGGGAGAGGCAGATAGACCCAGCTGGTAGACAGTACCACATCCTTGTCGACTCAGAGGGTTTTCAGCGTCTGACGTCTCCTGACCCTGGGTATTGTGAAGGAAAACGTAGGGTTGTCATGGTATATCAGGAAGGTAAACAAAAACTACTGCTTGGTCTTCTAACCTGTGCCAGGCTAAATGTGTAGAGAGGTGTAGGTGTGTCCTGAGAAAGATCGGTATAAGACCCATCAGCCCTGTTGTTGTAGGGCTTGATGGGGATTGGTCCCGGGGTGCTTCTCGCCCCAGGTATGGGATTTATACCAGGGAGTGCAAGACAACCGGGGTGTTTCCTCGTTAATACTTTGCACCTTTGGGTGGGTTTGGCTCATTGGGTCCGTTTGAGGCAGAGTCTACGGGTCTCTGTGTGGAAGATGACGCCTCGTCTCGTGGACAGCGAGGCCACCAAAGGCGGTAGATACAGTTTTTTTGGTTTCCTCCCATTGCTGGATGCAGCAGTCTGGGTCACGAATGTGTGCGTGTGTGGAGGGGTCTATGCTCCATTCAGTAGGCTTCTCACTGCTTTTTTAGGACCTGGGTCTCGGGAGCTCGTGCCTTATGCGGCCATCTTGGTTCCCGGTCAGGCTCCGCCCCCAATAAAATGCATTTTAAAAAGAACAAAAGTATCTTAATCCTTAAGAGAAAAATATACTTACAGCTGGCAGGCCTTGTTCCATATCGTTGCATAATCTGGTTGTGTGTGAATTTCACAAAGGATTCATATTGTTCTACAGTAAAACAATAAGGCATACATATAAAACCAAATAAAGCATGTATTCTCTTACTGTTGCAAAAAATTTTTTTTCTCAAACAGACAAGAAAACAACCTACACAGCACAGTCATTTGTGGTTCTTTACATAATTACATCCATATTTTATCTGAGATATGACTTACAGCGACATGCATTAAGCTTATTTGAAGACATAACATTCTATGTAAGCAGCTTTTGAAGACATCCCAGACACTTCGCTATGTATTTCACAGTCTGAATATCGAATACAGAGCAGGCATTTTAAGATCGCATAAGCACTGGAATAAATTCACCGCCTTGTCCATGAGTGGAGTGGTGTGCGAATATAAATTTCCTCATTATGGTGAATGGTTTCTCAATTCACATAGGGCAAAGACGAGAAAGGGTTCAAGAAAGAAAGTAAAATATGACCGAGGCATTTTTTTCACATACTCAAAATATATTATTTACAAGGCTCCAAGACTGAAAACAGTCAGTAGAGCATTGTTTAAGTGCTCAATAAGTTGGGGTGTGTATGCGCGCAAATGTCACCTCAAACAAACTTTGAGCCATTATGTAGGATCCAAGGACAGGCACACAGAGGATTTGAACTAATGAAGGTCATTAGATTTACTGCAACAGCACAATTGTTTACTACAGAGAGATATATCTATCTCTATACACACTCACACACAGAAAGACCCACCTTCTACATAAAGTGCAGTACTAGAAATATCTGACTGACCTTCTAGTTTTGTGTTGAGAATCTGTTCGTACTCTTCCCTTACTTTTTCCTCATGGTTCTTAAGAAGCCGTTCACACAGCATTCCTACTTGTCGCAGGCTGAATGTTGGTTGGTCCTTCTTTCCCAGTGAACCTGGTTGGAAAATTATCAGAAAATGTAGAATAAAATTGACGTACAGAGAAAATAAAATAAAAAAATAAAACAGACTGATTCTCATTACCTGGAGAAGCTGGTGTTGTGAGCGGTGAAAAGCTGGCCTGTCCATCAAGTGATGATCCAGATTCAATTTGACTAAAAGTTTCATCTAAATGTCTTTGCCTCTGATAGCGTGTATATTCTTGCTTTAGATTCTGAAAGATTTGCTCTGAAAGAGATTTTCAGTGTTAGTAGTCCACCAAAATACTTGAAGTCAGACTTAAATAAAAATAAATTAATGCTTATCGATTTGAGATATACAAGACAGATATATACAAAAAAACAAACAAAAAAACCCCCACAAATTAATACAATAGGACCAGACAAATCTAGAATGCCAAGTTGCCACGGGGACAGAAATTGGATCTGGTGTCAATTTACCTTAGTACTTTGTACATAGATATCTGATTTGTATTCATGTATTGCTTCTACATACCATGAGAATAGTTTCTCCTGTCCTAATGACTGTGGTTAGAGCTACAAGCTGTGCTTTAAAGCCCAGGAAGACTTAAGAATGCAAGGACCTTATAACATGTATAACACTGTGCTTTCTCTTTCTGACAAAGGAGAGGAGACATTTCCTCTTTTGCAATTCAAATACACCATGCTCTGAGAGTTGGGAAGAGATCAGACTTGAAAACCAAAAACAGGAGGCTTTAAACTTGGTCTGAAAAGGGTGTTTTTGTTGTTGTTGTAGGTATGGTCTAAAAAGGATTGTTCTGCTGTAGATATGATCTGAGAAGGGTGTTTTGTCTTTTTTGCTGTTTAACCCCTTCAGGACGGAGTCAATATGCACGTTCTGATCAAAACAAAACGTAAACAAAAACTGGAATTTGCGCTATTTGTCTGTTCAACCGTTATTCACCTTTTTCATATTAAATTCACCCACAGTTATATATCATTTTGTTCAGGAGAAACAGGGCTTTAATTTCATATCAAATATTTAGCTATGAAACTATTATGAATAAAATTAAAAAAAAAAAAAAACTTTTTTTTTTTTTATTTATAGTTCCGCCTCACATTTTAGCTGTAAATGTCATAATACTGTTAGGTTTTACTGCAAAAAAAAAAAAAAAAAATGCACAGATTTGTAATCCGCGATGTCTCACGAGTACAACAGTACCCCACCATTAACAGGTTTTATGGTGTTTTGGAAAGTTACAGGGTCAAATATAGAACGTTCCATTTGAAAAAGTAGGCAAGCCAAGGTATTGAAAGTGGGGTATGTTTAATCTTTTTTAGTAGCCACTTAGTCACAAACACCAGCCAAAGTTAGCGTCCATATTTATTTTTGTGTGAAAAAAAGCAAATAAAAAAAAAAAATATTTGACCAGTGTTTGTGACTAAGTGGCTACTAAGAAAGACTGGACATACCCCACTTGCAATACCTCGGGTTGTCTACTTTTGCAAATGGTATGCCATCATGGGGGTAATTCTCATTCCTGGGCTACCATACGGTCTCAAAGGCAACATAACCAATCTGGCAAATTTCAATGTCAAAAAAAAATGAAATGCAAGCCTTATATGTGACTCTCTAACTTTCCAAAACACCATAAAACCTGTACATGGGGGGTACTGTTATTCTTGGGAGACGTCACTAAACACAAATATTAGTGTTTTAAAACAGTAAAACATATTACAACAATAATATAGTCCATAAAAGTGCCGTTCGTTTGTAAAAAAAAAAAATGCAAAAAACTTCACTTTTACTTAAAATATCATCGTTGTAATACAATTTACCAGTTTGAAAGACTAATATTTGAGTTCAGCGAAGTCTCCCGAGTAAAACAGTACCCTCTATGTACATGTTTTATGGTGTCTTTGAGAGTTACAGGGTCAAATATAGTGCTTGCGAATTAAATTCTCTGCACTTCTCCCTGTGTTGTCAGGCATGTCAATCAAATATTAATCAAATCACATAATTATGTTAAAAGATTACTTAAATATACACGTAGAATTTTAATATATATGCATTTAGTTATTTAAATTCTACGTGTATACTAATGTAATCTTTTATGTAATTATATGTATGTATATATATTTGCGGTTATTTGTAATTATATATATATATATATATATATATATATATATATATATATATATATATATATATATATATATATATATATATATATATATATATATAGAATGTAATTCTAAGTGTATTTTGTTACATATATATGTATATTACATATACACACACACACACACACACACACACACACACACACATATATATATAAAAAATACAGTTAGAATGAAATTACATATGAATATATAATTTATATAAAATTTTATTTAATTATTTTAATTTTATTTATTATTGTAATTATACGTGTGTATATATATATATATATATATATATATATATATATATATAGTCATTCTAAGTGTATTTTAATATTAATATACTAATATTCGTATTAAAATACACTATGTATGACGTTACACACACACACACTTACTTTATTTTATAACCTGTTTAAATTTTTTTTACACTTTCCACCAGCAGGGGGACTGTGACATTTCAGACAGTCCCCCTGCTGGCAGATCCACAGCCAGCTATAGGGGGCCATGTGATCGCTCTTTGAGAGCGATTACATGGCCCCCAGGGGCCTCATTCGACAGGGGAGGGCTGCCTGGGCTGTCAGGCAGCCCTCCCGAAGAGGATCGCAGCGGAGGTAAGTAAATTTTACCTCCCCCCGGCTTAAGCCGTTACGGCGTTCTACGCCGCCGCAACGGTTTTAAAGCCCTTTAAAGCTGTAACGGCATTAAGGGGTTAAAAGGAGAGTTTATAATTTACCAGAAATCCAACCTCCTCCCCCACAAAAACAAACCCAAACACACATGCTAATATTTTTAATTCATTATTTGTACAACATTAAAGCAGTACTGTCATGCCGAACTTTCCTTTCTTTAAAATTGATTCCTCTTCTCTCACGATCTGTTCTTCATTTCTTCTTGTTTGCTCTAGTTTTCTTTAAAAAAAAAATAAGACACAGTAGGGACTATTTGTCTTATGGAGGTTTCCTACGCCTGACCATCTCTAACCAGCAGAGGAGCAAAGAGTGCTTCATTTCCGACGGTCATAGAAATTTTACCACAATTCTCCCCTATCCTCTGTGTTCCCACGAAGCCTCCTTTCACTTTTCCAGAACGTCCTGTCACGATGGCGAAACTACCGAATTTCGTCCTAACAGAACGAGAATACTTTCTCCATTTGTGTTAGGACGCAATTCAGGACTTTGTTCGGATCAGAATTTCATTTGAATGAATGAAACTCCGATCCTTAGTAGATAACTCCCTAATTCCCACGGTATTAGGGAGCTATCTACCAAAAGGCTGAAAGACCTAAATTGGTCTTTCAGGCAAATGTACTAATACTAAGTAAAGATTACTTTGTATTAGTAAACTCTGCCCTTACTCGCTATATAGCTAGTAGGGGCATGTCTAGTAAATAGTGAGCAGCCTGTGGCTGCTCACTGTTAAAAAAAAACAAAAACAAAACAACAACCTCATATCCCCCTTCCCGAGCAACACGAGTGGGGGCTGTTAAACCAAAGGGGGGACCTAGCGACCTACTGTCTAGACGACCTACTGTCCTCTCCCCTCACCCCCACCCCTGACCAGTGGTTGGGGGGGGTGGGGGAAATGGGTTAGAGACCTATTGTCCTCCCCCCCTGACCCCCACCTAAATGATATGGTTATCCCCTCCAAGGTGACCCCAAGCCCTTAGTCACCCCCCAAAAAAAAAATTTTATAAACCCCTACCTCCATCACCCTAAAAATAGTGAGGGGGGAATAAAATAACCAAGTACCTGTAAAAAAAACAATTAAATAAAACTTACCATTTGATGTCTTTTTTTCAGCCCCCAAAAAAATTCTGTCTAAGTGACAGGACGCTTCGTGGGAACATGGAGTATAGGTGAGAATTGTGGGAAAATTTCTATGACCACTGGAAATGAAGCACACTTTGCTCCTCTGCTGGTCAGAGATGGTCAGGCATAGGAAACCTCCAAAAGACAAGTAGTCCCTTCTTTGTCTTATGTTTTAAAGAAAACTAGAGCAGACAGGGAAATTTAAAATTGTTATTAGAGGAGCACAAACATGTATCTCTGGCCATATAGGGTTAAAACCACCATCTAGCCTCCTGCCCACCTTGCCTTCCTAAATAAGGCACAAGTCAAACACAGCCCCGGCCAATCAGCATCTCCTCACAGAGATGTATTGAATCAATGCATCTCTATGAGGAACGTTCAGTGTCTCCATGCAGAGGGTGGATGAACTGAATGGCAGTGCTGCACAGTGTGCAGCACTTCCCCATGAAGCACCTCTAGTAGCCATCTGAGGAGAGGCCAGTGGAGTTATCACTAGGCTGTAATGTGAACACTGCATTTTCTTAGAAAATACAGTGTTTACTGCAAAAAGCCTGAAGGAAAGGATTCTACTCACCAGAACAAAATACAGTAATCTGTAGTTCTGGTGACTATAGTGCCCTTTTAAAGATTTAGAAAATGGCATAATCCAGTTCAGACAAGGCCAGGTTAACTACTGTAAATGGTATTAATAAAAATAATGTGTTATTCTCCTGCTGGGAATCTCAAACTTTGGTGCCCAGATGTTTGTTGATGGCCTTGAATAATGGTTTGAATGACACAGGTAGCCAAAGAATCATGGGAGTTGTAATTCAGAAACATCTGGGAAGAAAGGCGGATTTTGAGATGCTCTATACTGACTTCCAGGTGTAGAGCACAGAGTGTATCTGGCATAGAGCTTAAGTGGAGAAGCCCAGATGAGGGATAAAGAGGAGTGGACTTCTACATTTGATTTTATTTTTCACATGTCACGCATATGAGTATTAAAATATGTAAACTAAACAAAAATCATAGGAAGTGACCATTTCCTTAAAAATAAGAGTGGCCATCTGCCTTATGATTCCCTATTTTTCTAATTGGTTATCCTGCATGAGGTTTAGAACAGAAGCAGCCTGCACTCCCAATAGTTTGCATTGTCTCGGCGGTACCATCTCTAACTCAGGACTCCTGCTGATTCCCCAAATCAGCATCTCTTCATAGAGATGCATTAAATGAATGCATCTCTATGAAGAACATTCAGTGCCTCCATGCAGGGCGTGGATATGAAGAACATCAGTGCTGCAAAACACAGAAAGCTCCTCTAGTTGCAGTGTGAGTGACTGAAAACAAAATGGGGTGTGTCTGTAACCCAGCATTTCAACCTGGTTCTCTCTACATCAAAAACTTGCAGTCTATGGTGGTTGCCACATTCTAAGGTTCACAAAGCCCCATTCCTCGAAAAGGTTTGTATAGTTCTTAAACACTTTGCTCTGATGTCCTCAAGCTAGACACACAGCTTTAAGTTGGACTAAGGAAAGTCCTTATTCGACAAAGAAATAACCTATGGTGTTTCCATAACCTCCCAGATGAGTATAGAGAGGCTCATTTTGTATTTCTGCAGGTAACCTTAGCAATTAATGCAGTTTAAAAAAAAACCAAAAAAAAACACAGATTTTAACTATAGCATGGGTTGTAATCCAAAAGGACCATGTACTACACAGTTTCAACCTTTTGAGTCTCAGAAGCATGGCGCCAGTTCTGGTATGTAAGTTAAAGTCTCTCTAAGAATTCTTATACCTAGCTACCCGCTATCAGAGGGACTTCTCCTTGCAGACCAGAACCTCCATCATGCTATGACCGAAAAGGTTGAAACTGTGCAATCCTTGGCTGGTTTCTGGACACAGATTTTATATATAAAATAAAATAAAAAATTAGATAATATACACTGCTAAAAAACAAAAACGAAAAATACATAGCAAGCTACAACACTGCTACTCATGTATGTGAAAAAAAATGGAGGCAGAAGTACTACTAATGGCAGTCATTAAGACAACCACTAGAGGTGTGTTAACCCTTTCATGTAACCATTACTGCTTCTACAAAATGGAAATGTTTACATGGAAGGGTTAACATTGCAGGACTACTGCAACCAGACCAATTCATTGACTATAGCATTCCTTTAAACCTAAAAAAAAAAAAAAAAATAATTCTCACAGATTGTTATAAAAGGTTTAATATTTGCAACCAGATGAAGATTTCATATTCAGAATAATGACTTTTCAGATTAGTTTAACAGTAAACTGAGGTCTTTCTTTGTTATTTACCATTATAAATACATACACAGATAATGATAACATTAATGCAAGGTGAAGCATTACTCAAGTTTGGAGAACAACCTACGTCATTGAGTGTACATAGATTTGCTGATTAATGTCCTTCAAAACATTTTTTTGCTGTGAAAATGCATGTAATCGATGCTGACAAGTAAAATTAACTTGGATCAATACAATTAATTTAACGAAAAGTTAAAGGGATTCTATAGTGCCAGGAAAACAAACCTGTTTTCCTGGCACTATAGGCTCCTGCAGTGCCCCCCTCCCGCGCAATGCTGAAGGTGTTAAAACCAGTCAGTCACTTGAATCCAGTGCAGATGTCCCTCGGCGCTGGGTCAGGCTCCGCCCACTCTCCTCCCCTGCCGACATCAGCCAGCGGGGGAAACTTAATGCACATGCGCAGCAATTACCCGCTCTCATTAGGTTTTCCCCATAGGAAAGCATTATCCAATGCTTTCCTAAGGGGAAAATTCTGATGCTGCAGGGTGTGAAGACGTCCAGTGTCATATAGCAGACCAAAGGTCCATTTTCGATTCCAGAAGCCCCTCTAGTAGACAGCCACTAGAGGAGGAGTTGACCCTCAGAGGTAATTATTGCGGTTTCTCAAAAAAATGCTGTTCCAGAACTAGGCTGGCTTTTTTTTTTTTTTTTGGCAAAGTCTAATCTGGCCTTTCTATTCTTAAGACATATGAATGGTTTGCACCTTGTTGTAAACCCTCTGTATTTGCTCTCATGAAGTCTTCTCTTTATGGTAGACTTGGATAATGACATGCCTACCTCCTGGAGAATGTTCTTCACTTGGCTGGATCTTGTGAAGCGGTTTTTCTTTACCATGGAAAGGATCCTACGTTCATTCACCGATGTTTACTGTGGACATCCAGGCCTCTTTCTGTTGCAGAGCTCCCCGTTTTTTTTTTTTTGGTGAAATGTACCAAAGCTGATTTGGCCACTCAATGTTCCTGCTATCTCTCTGATGGATTTTTTGTTTTGCTGCCTAAAGATGGTCTGTTTCACTTGCACCGAGAGCTCCTATGACTGCATGTGGGTTCACAGCAACAGCATCCAAATGCAAATGCCACTCCTGGAATCAACTCCAGACCTTTTTACCTGCTTAATTGATGAAGAAATAACTAAGTAATAGCACACACTTGTCCATAAAACAGCTTTTGATTTTTCAATTGTTCAATTATTTGGGTCCCTTTAAAAAAAAAAAAAAAAAAAAAAAAGCCCCCTAAATATTAAAGAGTTGTACTTCCTTAACCCTTCCTCCAATCTGGATGTGAATAACCTCAAATTAAAGCTGAGAGACTGCATGTCAAGCCGGTATTCATTATTTAGTTGTAACTTGAATTTATGTTGGTAAACAGCCAAAATAAAACTTGTGCCAGTGTCTAGACCTAACTGCATATGCTGCTGATAAAGGAAGTTAAAAAGAGAAACAAAATCAGGTGTGCCTTGGAAATGTGAATATTATTGAAGTGTGCCCTTGACCAAAATTTTTTTTCAACAGCTATACATTACTAATCTGTCATATTAAAGAGACACCATAGGCACCCACACCACTTCAGTTTATTAAAGTGCTCTGCGTGCACTGTCCCAGGTCCCTTAACCCTGAGCAGGTAATTATTGCAGTTTTTAATAAACTGCAATGATTACCTGCTATGGTTAATTACACCACTAGTGGCTGTCTACTTGACGGAGGGGGAAGTTATATTGCCAGGAAAATGCAATTTTTAAAAAAAAATTTTTTTTTTTTTTTTTTTTAAAGCTGCAGCATTATGTTACAATTGTTAATTGTTTTCCCCCATATTAATACGCAAAAAACTTTATGGAAAAAATAAATAAAAATAAATAAAATTTTTGACCCCACTGCAAATATATTAAGCAGAAAACCCTGAAATATCACAATGACCTATGTATTCAGACCCTAAATTCAGTAGCTGAAGCAACTTTGGTAGCTATTACAGCCTCCAATCTTTTTGCATATGATGTTTTGCACACCTGAATGAGTAGTTTTCACTCACTCATTCATCTCTGCAGATTAGGGATCGACCAATATTGATTTTTTTTAAAGCCAATAACGATAATCTGTGAACTTTCAGGCAGATAATTTACCGATATTCTGTACACTTACCATTAAAAAAAAAAAAAAAACAGTTTCTACACAAAGCTACTGTTAACTGAACAGGTTTATTATTTATTTATTTGCACAAATTTAGGTTTTCAAGAATATGTGTGTGTTTGGTGGATGCAGCGAGAGTATTTTATTAGTAAATGCAGTGTGTGTTTGTGTAATGTGTATATATACTGAATGCAGTGTGTTTGTGTAGTGCTTGTATAGTGAATGCAGTGTGTGTCTAGCGTGCATATAATGAATGCAGTGTGTGTATAGTGAATGCAGTGTGTCTTTATGTAGTGTGTGTTTGTGTAGGTATGTAATGTGTGTAAAATGGGGGAGGGGGGCATTTTTATTTAATCATTTTGTTTTAGTCCCCTTTTCCTGCCTCTTACCTGGCCAGGGAGGGGGGATATGGCATTCCCTGGTGGTCCAGTGGCATGGGCTATGCAGAGGGGGCCCAGCACACTCCTACTTACCTTCCCAGTAGCTATCTAACTCTTGCGGTCTGCGTGCCACGCAGAGCGTTTGCATAGTAACATGTGGCAACGCTCTGACGGCCGCGGGACTCGTGAGAGTTAGACAGGGGAGCTGAAGGGAGCTGCTGGGATGGCGGCCTCGGTCTGCATTATCGGCAATATCTGTATCTTTATTGGCCCATACCGTTATTGCTGAAAATACAGAATATCGGCTGATAATATCGGCCAGACCGATAATCGGTCAACCCCTACTGCAGATCCTCTCAAGCTGTCTGCTTGGATGGAGACTGTAAGTGAACATCCATTTTCAGATATCTCCAGAGATGTTCATTTGGGTTCGAGTTCAGGCTCTGGTCGAGTCACTCATGGACATTCACAGAGATGTCCATAAGCTCTCGAGTTGTCTTGGCTGGGTGCTTGGGGTCATTGTCTTGTTGGAAGTAGTGAACCTTGACCCAGTCTTTTTCCACTAAGGATTACACTATATTTTGCAGCTTTCTCTCAAACCTGACCAGTCTTCCAGTTCATGAAAAACACCCAAAAAGCATGATTCTGCCACAACGCTTCACTGTTAGGATGGTTTTGCACAGGTGATTAGTAGTGATGCCGCGAACGGTTCGCCGCGAACTCCGGTCAGCTGACATATCCCTGCCAATCTCCGGCAGACCCTCCTACTTCCTGGACAGCATCCATGTTGAAGGCAGCTTCAACATGGATGCTGTCCAGGAGGTGGGAGGGAGGGTCTGCCGGAGATTGGCAGGGATGTGTCAGCTGACCGGAGTTTGCCACAAACCGTTCGCGGCAAGTTCGCGACATCACTAGTGATTAGCAGTGCCTGGTTTCCTCATACATGATGCTTTGAATTGAGGCCAAACAATTCAATCTTCATTTCAACATACCAAAGAATTATCTTTCTCGCAGTTTGAGAGCCCCTGCTTTTTGACAAATTACAGGCAAACGTTCATGTGTGTTGCAGCGATAAAAGACTTCTGTCTGGCCAGTCTGCCATAATGGTCAGATTGGTGGAGTATTGTAATGATGGTTGTCTGACCATGATGTCAGACTGACCATTGAGTTCTTGGTCATCCTCTCTTACCAAGGCACATCTCAAGCAGTTGCTCAGTTTGTAGACACCGTCCTGGTTGTTCCAAACATTTTCCATTTAAGAATATCGAGGCCACTGTGCTTTTGGGAACCTTCAATGCTGAAACAAAATGTTTCTGTAGCCTTGCCCAGATGTGCCTGTCTACCATTCTGTCTCTGAGTTCCGCAGGCAGTTACTTTCACCTCATGGTCTTTTTTTGGCTCCGATATAAATTCACAGCTTTAGGAGCTCATATAGACAGGTGTGTGCCATTCCATATCATGTCCAATTAACTTAATTTGCCAATTAAAGTGGCTCTGTCACAATGTGCAAAGAACCTTGACAGTTACTGATAGGCTGCGTGTCCGGATGCCGCGGGGTGCATTGGAAGTTGAGTTATAGATACTTGAATCGGTATCTTGCAGCCATCAATATGCTCTTCTGGTGCAAGAGTACAACACCGAGGTCTGTTGAGGATCCCATGAGGCCCTCCACAGACAGAGCCTTTCTCCCCCCTCAGGTGTCACTAATGACTACCAGGGACTTGACAAAAGCTCCGCCTTTTGTCAACCGGAGGAAAAATAAAGTGTAGAAATCTCAAGAATGAGAAATTCGAAGCAGCTGTGTTAAATTTCAAGTGTCATAGGAAAGATTCTCAATACTTAATGTGATAGTCCATTTTTTTTTTCCTTTTTAAGAAATTTGCTAAATTTTCAAAAATCAGTTTTCCTTATAAATTATGGGATTTTGAAAGTAGATAAAATTTGAAAAGAAAATTTAAAACAATTGTACCATAAGGCTGCACCACAAACGTGGACAAATAAAGGAGTCTGAAAGAACACACACACGAATTAACAATGAACAAAAGGCCATACTAAGGTGGATAGAATACATTAGGAAACACAATGTTTGCATACTCAGTATTTCCCCCGATTTCTATAATGTACAATCTGGTCTGCAGAGACAGGTGATACCACTCACTGTAACCCTACATACAGTCCATACAGGACAGACACACAGACACGTGAGATTCCCCCCCTCTCTCCCACCCCCCCAATTAGAGGACACACAGAAATGTCAGACATGTGAGATCCCCCTCCCCCCCATGACGGGACAGACACACAGACATCGCAGATTCCCATTAGGGGACACACAGACATGTCAGGCCCCCCTCACCCCCCTACAGACATGTGAGATCCCCCAGATATGACAGGACAGACACACAGACATGTCGGCCCCCCTCCCCCAATCCTCCCCCTTATCCTTACCCGGGGTGAGCCTGCGGTCTGCCCCCAGCTGTGTGGCTGGCTGAGCCTGCTGGGTGTCGGTCCTGTGGCCGCACCTCTGTGAGGGGGAGGGAGCCGGGGATACCTGCAGGGGGACGCAGCGCCGTCGCTTGGGAGACTGAGGGCTCATCAGGGCCTCGAACTCCACCGAGCGCTTCAGAGTAGCCCCGCACGCCATGCCGCCAGGGGAGCAGCCGAGACCGGGATACAACGGGGCGACACTGGAACCGAGATCAGCCGGGAGCTCAGTCCGTCACACGGCCACTCTCACACAACTGCTCGCGCTCGGAGAATCACAATGGCGACCCGAGCCTGGCTGCCGGCCAACTGCTGTGACTACGGCGTCACGGGGCGGGCGGTACCATCACGGCAGGGGGAGAGGGAAGTATCTAGCCCCCCACCCCGCTATTAATTCACCTATCTGTGGGGAGTCTGGGGTACTGGATTACTAACAGGAAAACATAGGACGATGACAGTAATTATGAGTAAAGGAGGATGCGCGAATATGTTAAATAGCCGAGATAAATGTCAGCGCTCCCCTACTTCTCTCCTCTAATGGAACATGCCAAAACAAAGCATCTCCCAGGGCCCTGCTCTCAGAGGTCAGGAGCCCGGGTGACTGGGTCCTGCTGGCTGGCTGGGGGCACTGGGGTTTTTTTTTTCTAATGTTGATTTTATTTTATTTTTTTTCCTTTCTTGTATGGAAACATTTTAGACATGGGGCATCTGCAATTGTGAAACTCACTATAAACCTCTTCATGACTATGCCCAAAGGCACACGCTAGAGTGGTGTTAATCCAATAGTTAAAATAAATAAATCCCATGGCTTGCAGCTTCTTCATTTAGTGACTGAGCCAATCCTGATGCTCCACTTATGTTCAGTTGGAATGGTACATACCCCACAAATATTTGACCAAGCATTGCTTAAAGGAGGTCCCACTGTGGCTCCTATCAGCTTTAAAGGGTTACTCTAAGAACCATCACAACTTTGGGAAATATATGTTACTTAAATGATCCTGCATCTGGTTTCCCTGCTGAGTGGTTTATAACTGTATCTGTAAAAAATCACTCAGCTAAAGACTTTCCCCTGGACCTCAAACATCAATGACAGACAGACACACCATGACACAGACAGACACACACATACCATGACAGACACACCTTGACACACTCACACCATAACACAGACCGTGACAGACACACAGACACCGTGACACAGACACACATTACATGACACAGACAGACACACACACCATGACACACAGACACACACACACCACGACACAGAGAGACCGTGACACAGACAGACACACACACACCATGACAAACACACACACCATGACACAGACAGACCGTGACACAGACAGACACACACACACAATGACACAGACACACATTGCATGACACAGACAGACACACCATGACAGACAGAGACACACACACACACCATGACACAGACAGACACACCATGACAGACAGAGACACGCACACACCATGACACAGACAGACACACACACACACCATGACACAGACAGACACACCATGACAGACAGAGACACACACACCATGACAAACAGAGACACACACACACAATGACACAGACAGACACACACACAATGACACAGACACATACACTCACACTGACACACATAATTGCTACCTGTGTTCTGGCGGCTGCATGGGGACCTCAGTCTGATGGCGGCTGCAGAGGGAGCTCTTCTGGCGGCCGCAGGGGGGGGGGGCTGGCTCTTCTGGCGGCCGCTGGGGGAGCTGGCTCTTCTGGCGTAATATTCCGGCCCCGGTCTCCCGGTCGCTGGGGCAGGGGAGCAGAGACAGAACAACCAGCTCCCCCTGTGGCCGCAGGTCAGCCAGCTGCCTGCCCGGCCCCAAGTGCCGACGGCCCACCGGGAAATTTCCCGGTATCCCGGTGGGCCATTCCGGCCCTGGGCCCTTGCAGTTGTTAACTTGAGTTTTGTCTTTTCCCCAGTCAGAGACAGGTTGTAAACATTGAGGGATGGCAGTCACGAAAGGCTGGTTAATGGCTCCAATTATACTCTGTGTGAGTCATTAATATTAGTGGCAGTCAGTAATTCTTTGTCATGGATAGCAGGATTTTAATGTTGGGGTTGCTAATCGCTAACAGAAGCATGGGTTTTGAATGTTGCATTCTTCCTGATACATAGTATAAATAAAACACAACAACTTCTTCTATTACAAGGTTTATTTTTTTCTTTTAAAATTGACAACATTTGGCAAATGGCCGTGACTTTTTTTTTACGGATTTTCCAAATTATAATAACAAACCATAACCTTAAAGCCAGGAGCCATAAATATATATTTCCAACCAAATAAACCAAGTCCACACTCCTGTGATTCCCAGGAGGGTAACCAAAACTCGGTGGCCCCCCAAAGCCCACGGTCATCACCACCAGAGACTGAATACCCAAATTAAATATTACCAAACCTATGACGGACAAATGAATCGCATCCCTCCTATAGAAACCTGCGCAACTGCCCTCAATAACTATGTGCCTATCCGAACGCATCCCCAAAGTTGGCAAAACTTTTCTAGCTCTCTGATTAATTTTCACCGCACCCTTTTCAATGGTTTCAAATAGCTTACTTTCCTATAGCAATGCCTTGCTATAATTCTGACTAAATGAAAGGAACTTTTTGAAAATTTGTGCTACAATAACCAGATCCTTCTTAATCTCTTGGAACAAATGTACCAATTTTGTAGCTCCAATGTTGTCGATACCTCCTAAATTCACTACAGGGAGTGCAGAATTATTAGGCAAATGAGTATTTTGACCACATCATCCTCTTTATGCATGTTGTCTTACTCCAAGCTGTATAGGCTTGAAAGCCTACTACCAATTAAGCATATTAGGTGATGTGCATCTCTGTAATGAGAAGGGGTGTGGTCTAATGACATCAACACCCTATATCAGGTGTGCATAATTATTAGGCAACTTCCTTTCCTTTGGCAAAATGGGTCAAAAGAAGGACTTGACAGGCTCAGAAAAGTCAAAAATAGTGAGATATCTTGCAGAGGGATGCAGCACTCTTAAAATTGCAAAGCTTCTGAAGCGTGATCATCGAACAATCAAGCGTTTCATTCAAAATAGTCAACAGGGTCGCAAGAAGCGTGTGGAAAAACCAAGGCGCAAAATAACTGCCCATGAACTGAGAAAAGTCAAGCGTGCAGCTGCCACGATGCCACTTGCCACCAGTTTGGCCATATTTCAGAGCTGCAACATCACTGGAGTGCCCAAAAGCACAAGGTGTGCAATACTCAGAGACATGGCCAAGGTAAGAAAGGCTGAAAGACGACCACCACTGAACAAGACACACAAGCTGAAACGTCAAGACTGGGCCAAGAAATATCTCAAGACTGATTTTTCTAAGGTTTTATGGACTGATGAAATGAGAGTGAGTCTTGATGGGCCAGATGGATGGGCCCGTGGCTGGATTGGTAAAGGGCAGAGAGCTCCAGTCCGACTCAGACGCCAGCAAGGTGGAGGTGGAGTACTGGTTTGGGCTGGTATCATCAAAGATGAGCTTGTGGGGCCTTTTCGGGTTGAGGATGGAGTCAAGCTCAACTCCCAGTCCTACTGCCAGTTCCTGGAAGACACCTTCTTCAAGCAGTGGTACAGGAAGAAGTCTGCATCCTTCAAGAAAAACATGATTTTCATGCAGGACAATGCTCCATCACACGCGTCCAAGTACTCCACAGCGTGGCTGGCAAGAAAGGGTATAAAAGAAGAAAATCTAATGACATGGCCTCCTTGTTCACCTGATCTGAACCCCATTGAGAACCTGTGGTCCATCATCAAATGTGAGATTTACAAGGAGGGAAAACAGTACACCTCTCTGAACAGTGTCTGGGAGGCTGTGGTTGCTGCTGCACGCAATGTTGATGGTGAACAGATCAAAACACTGACAGAATCCATGGATGGCAGGCTTTTGAGTGTCCTTGCAAAGAAAGGTGGCTATATTGGTCACTGATTTGTTTTTGTTTTGTTTTTGAATGTCAGAAATGTATATTTGTGAATGTTGAGATGTTATATTGGTTTCACTGGTAATAATAAATAATTGAAATGGGTATATATTTGTTTTTTGTTAAGTTGCCTAATAATTATGCACAGTAATAGTCACCTGCACACACAGATATCCCCCTAACATAGCTATAACTAAAAACAAACTAAAAACTACTTCCAAAAATATTCAGCTTTGATATTAATGAGTTTTTTGGGTTCATTGAGAACATGGTTGTTGTTCAATAATAAAATTAATCCTCAAAAATACAACTTGCCTAATAATTCTGCACTCCCTGTATTATTAAAGGGACACTATAGTCACAAACAACTGTAGCTCAATAAAGCAGTTTTGGTGTATATATCATGCCCCTGCAGTCTCACTGCTCAATTCTCCATCATTTAGGAGTTATATCACTTTAATTCTGCATCCCTAGGCACACCTAACTGCATGTGATCTGCACAGCCTTTCCTAAACACTACCTGTAAGAGTCATCTAATGTTTATACTTTCTTTATGGAACTTTCTACTTAGTTCAAAATTTCTTATCTCCTGCACTGTTAATAGTTTCCCTGACCCTACAGGAACCTCCTGTGTAAGATTAAAGTTCAATTTACAGAGCTGGAGTTACTAAATAATTAAATAAAGTTACATCTGATTGAAAATGAAACCATTTTGTTTTCATGCAGGTGTTCTATCAAATTCCCCAACCTCGTGAAAATCCCATACCCTCATCACTTCCGGTGAGGGGAATCAGCTGGATCCTGTGCTGCACATGCATGCTAGCACTCCTACTACTCCTCCACAGCAAGGTCCTGGAAGGTAAGTAAAGCTAGTTTTACACTTTCATTATAGTTAGTGCATTCACTAAGCTTAGGCACACGGGACATTTAGGGTTAAGTGAGGGTTAAATGAAAGTGTAAAACTAGTTTTACTTACCTTCCAGGACCTTGCTGTGGAGGAGTAGCAGGAGTGCAAGCACGCATGTGCAGCACAGGATCCAGCTGATTCCCCTCACCTGAAGTGAAGAGGGTAGGGGATTTTCACGGGTAGGGAAATTTGATAGAACACAGGCTGTTTCAATCACAGCCAGGGGAGGTGTGGCTAGGACTGCATAAACGGAAACTAAGTGATTTAACTCCTAAATGGCAGAGAATTGAGCAGTAAAACTTTAGATGCATTATCTGTATACCAAAACTGTTTCATTAAGCTGAAGTTGTTTTGGTGACTATAATGTCCCTTTAAATCTGGATAGGGAAAAATTGATAAACATTGTTGGACATTTCCAATAACTGTGACCACTTAGTACCACAGGTGCCTTTCCAAAATATTTTAACTGAAGTGCTCTTCATACGCTCCTGTGCCCTCTTCTGACCCCAAACTACAAACGAGTGACCAATAATCCAGGA